TAATAAGTCATTACATACTAAGAAATAAAAACCATCATGATTTAGCTGTTTATAGGTAATGCATTTGTGTATGGTTTAATCAATCATACAAACATGTTAAGTTTCAACTGAAAAATGTATTGTAATGCATATTTTGTTATTTTCAAAATATATTTTAGTTGTTCATTTAATTACTTTATTTTAATTTAAATTCTGGTATAATATATATATAGTCTGATGAAATTTTTTTTTGCCTGCCTACTTTTTAGCATACCTTTTAAAAAGTTGAAATGACGACCCTGTTTATATCTAGTAGTGATTCGCTAAAGCGATGTTATGTAAAATATCAATATAAAATATCAAACAAAATTAATTCCTCATTTGCTAATATGTCATCGACAAGTATAGTTCAGCTAACGATACTGTTAGAAAACCCTGTGCTAAACAATTTTTTTTGAAAATCGGTTTTTATTGAACTTCGGAAATTAGAATTTCTCTTTGCTCAGAAGTAAATTTATTACACTAACTCGTTATTTATTTTAATAAATTGTAATAAAGTTAAATAAATAAAATTAGTTAAAACAAGTGAACACGTTTGAAAATAAAGTATATATCGCTTTAAAATTATGACCAAATATTAAACATGATTAATATTAATCGCGTCGCTCGAGAATCGCCAGTCAATGTCGCCAATCGTTCAAGACCAATATAAACACTTCCATTTGGAACAACCATGTGTTAAATATATTTTAGGAAATTCCTAGGTCGCTCATCGCTCGTCGCTGTCCTCCTTCGCTCGCTAATGTGAACCCGGCCTAAATCGCACGCGCGACATTGTCTGTACATGATACGATACGAGTTCGCGTTGGCAAAAACGGAAGTCGAGGACTGTGCACATATATTGGATAATGACATGAGTGGCATAAAGGGCGACAAAGGAATATTAAGCCATTACACATTATAGATAGACTGATCTGTTCTGAGTGCTAAACAATGTCCAATAGAGGAGAGGGGATAAATTATAAAAAATAATATATTTTAATGGGTTAGGTTAGGTTTATGGGTACAAAGCTAAAATCATAGAGCCACTTTAGAAACCTGGTCTTTTAAATTGTTTATAGATGGCATAATTGTATGAAATATATATACGCAGTGGTGTACATTCAATCTTGCTCTGGGGGGGAGGGTTAACAAAAATACACGTTATCTTTTTTTTTTCGTTGCACAGATAAATGAGATAAATAACTGTTATAAATAGATATTATTTTATACAACTTTTTTACCAATTTACAGTTTACTTTTACATTATAGTAAATTAATAGCTATTGGAATATAAAAACAGCATAGTTAACAAGACTTTTCAAACACCTATCAATATAATTATTTAATTATCATAATATTTGTATAGTTGTATATTTTAAGTTCAAAGCGTAATAATGAAACTACGAATATATTACACGTCATCAATAATAAAATAATTTTCTTTTCTTTTCTTTTTTCGGCTCTGGGGGGGGTTTGAACCCGCCCTCCCCTCGTATGTACGTCAATGTATATACATATATGTGTATAGCAGTGAATCTATTTTAAAGTTATTCAAAATCAGGATAAATAACAAAGTTGTAATATTAATTTGTTTATAAAAATATAACAGGAGCGAGAATGTACTCCTTGAATTCCTCGTACTCGAGTACACCGCTGAACATATACCCGAAGAGTATACAGGGTGTAAGCAAAATAAGATATACGGATTTCAAAAAAGGAAAGAATACCGTAAGCGCAATGTCACTGTGCATTGCCAATGTTACGTTGATAAGATTTCGACGCATACGTTTACTAACCGGCTTGACGAAATACACGACTTTTGTGTACGATCGTACGTTTTTTGGTCTTACGGGTTTTGTCCGTTCCGCAGGGCACAGCGACAATGGCAACACAATGGGAATGGACTAGGAAACTGGTCATTACTGCCGTCGCCACTATACGGAAGCGTTTCCCAAACTCTTGTTTAGGCTGAGCCGGTAATTAATATTTTTCTCCTTCGCGACTCACCGAAATATTTTACATTTATCATTGTGTAAAAAAAGGCAAAATAAATACATTTGAACGTCCGCATAGAATTTTATAATAAAATTAAAGCAATAATTTGTTACTATTATACTCTGTCTATAGATACGACGAACGTCGTACTGTACGAGTTTTTCATGAAGTCTAATTGATAATCTAAATAATTATTATTTATGTTGAGTAAATAAAAATTATTGATATTAATAAATTAATTTTTACTAAAAATTTCAAATTATCAAACGAAATGATAAATAACAAATTTAATATGAGAATTTTATAAATTCTGCGGCCCGGTATTTGGAAAACGCTGTTTAGTACCGTTTAGTGCGCGGCTAAAAGTACAAGTAGACACGTACAGCAATGACGGTGTGGTAGTTCAGCGCTGGAAATAATAGCTGAGCTGATTAAGAGGCACCGCGACCACGCGGACGACGACTGCGACGCGGTGCCGCTCGTTTTCGGCTCCGGTCGTCAGTCTGTGTGTACGTTTCCGGTGCGCGTTCCCGGACCGGATGGGGACGGCCTAAACGGATTTCACAGCGGTATTTTTCTTCGTCACCGCGGCAGCCTTCGACCTCTCCCAAAAACGTTTTTCGTCTCTACCGTGTGGTACAAACGCACACGCACGCGTACAGTTATTTCATCGCATACAGAACACCGACATTATGTTCACGCACGCACTCGTATATAGTATGGAAGTCGTACTCGCGCGAACGTATTGTCCTGCTAACAAGGGCCTCTGAAATTTGAGTACGTACTCCGCGACACGCTTTGTGCGTAATTCGAAAAGTTAAATGTAGACAAACACTGCGGGATTCGAAATAATGCGATGCGCGTACGTGTGTATGTATAATCAAATCGTATATGTGACAAAAAGTAAATGTCATAGAACCGGCTTGTATTATGTGCACAGAAAAACGACATCGTGTGACGCGTTTGAACAAGTTTGCAAAAAGTCCAACCGTAGAGCACACGTCCACAAGCACGAACGTTTTAAATCGGATTAAGCGAACACGTTAGCCCAAACGTAGGCGCGCGCACCGAACACTAGTCTTGGGCTCGGTCTCGCAATCGGTTGTCGTGCACACGTGATGTAATGGATACACCCGACCGTGTGCGCGCGTGCACACGAGCCGTGTGAAAATAATAAAAAACGCGTCTCCGATTCTCTCGCGCGGTATTTTATATGGGCGGTTTTTTTTTTTCAATTCGAAACTTTAGACGGTTTTTCCGGGTATTGTGCACATAATACGCTCGTCGTCCGTACCTGTACGTGTAACTGCGCAGGTACATTATAAGGACGACTCGTCTCGCGGCTACGTGGTCAATGTCGTCGTAGCGTGTGTGTGTGTGCGACAAAATTAAAATATAAAAAAATGAACGTCGATGAAATGCGTGTGTACACACACACGACGACAACGTGTATTTCGTGTACGTGTACCGTGCGGTCAGTGATTAGTGTGCGTGATGAGATCGCCGGTCACGTATGACGTCGCGCGGACGTGAACACACTACAAGGATCGCACACACACATGCACGAACACACGCAAATATAAAAACACACACACGCGCGCGTACACCGGTCGTAAATACCGGAACCAATAACGTCAATACTAACACGTAATAATAATATTATCATAGGAGTGTACACACACAAGTATCGGATTGTGTACTGAGTGTGCGTGCGCGTGTCCGTCTGTCCGTATAATCGGTCACGGTTTCTGCGCACCGCCACCGCACCGCTGTGCCGGACGCACCGTGAGAACTTCGCATCGTCGTTGTCGTTCGAACAATACCGGCCCCGGCGGTGAATCGTCGTCGTCGTCTTCTCGTAGTCGTGTTTTCGTATATTATTATTATTATTATTATATTGTTTCCTATACACACACACACACACACATATATATATGCGACTACCACGCGTATACGTATGTATGATATGCCCACTACTACTACTTATTATACCAGTAGTACGGTACCACGAGTACCTAGTTTTTTCATCGGTGTTTTTTTTTTTGTTTTTTACTCTCTCACCGCTGCCGTTGTTGTTCCCCTTCGATTGGTTCCCAGAACCGAACGATTTAGTCACGTACGAGCACAAATTGACTTATCGTCGGCGCGAAGCACACACGTGTATATACCTACGTTCCGAAGACGACTGAAATTGATTGATTGATTGATCGATTTTTACATTTTTTTTATTTTTTTCAATTTGGGAAATGAGCATAACGCTATATTTTATATGTTTAAATAACTTAATTTATTCTCGTAAAACACATAATATCACAGATCACGCTTATTTCTTATGCATTTTTCATACAAATATATCATTTATATCCGTATTACACATTTTTAAATACGGTTTACAGAAAAAAATAAACTAATAGTAAATGTCTAAAATTCTATTCCATTGCTGTACAAAGAAAAAACCATTAAATTTGTTTTTTCTGTTTTTTTTTTTTTTTTGGCTTATAGCTGTCCTCGACCGTTAAATACATTATAAACGACATGAATGCGTATAAATAGTAAACAAAAATTAAAATCAAACCAGAACAAAATGAAACCAACGAAAACATAGTAAAAAAAATACAATAAAGCTGGAAAATAACAAACGATCTTAACTCGTAACACACTTATGTAACCGGTACACGGCGATAGCGGCGGCGCACTATCCGCGGCGTACAAATGCGCACTCAAGCGATATCATCATCAATCAGTCAGTCTTGTCGCCGGACTAGGGTGCTGTCCGGTGGCGTCTCGGAGCAGCCTGGCTCACCACGGCCTCCAGACAGAATTCGGGTCGTCCTTGAGCTCGCTACCCGGCGTCGACGGTGGCGTGTACGGCCTGTACTGGTCGGCTGTGTTCGCTGTGGCAGTGGTGACGGACCGCGGCGGCGGGCTGCTGCCAGTGTCCACGTCAATCTTGCGCATGCACGCGCCCAGATGGTGGAGCAGCTTGACGCCGGCGGACGGGTCGACGGGCGGCGCGCGGACGTCGGCCGTCAGGTAGTTGGACACCTCGGTGGCGCAGTGCGCGAAACCGGCGCGGAACTTGTCCGCGTACACGGCGTCCACGGCCCCGACGCCGAGCGCGTTGTGCTGCTTCAGTTTGTGCAAGTGGCGCACCGTCAGCTCCAGTATGTCGGCCTTCTCCAGCTTGCTCACGTTCTCACCCTCGGCCTGCAGCGTCACCACCATCAGGTCCTTGAGTTCGTCCAGGCACCGGTTGATGCGAGCGCGGCGTTTCCGTTCCAAAAGCGGTTTCATAACCTGACGGGGAAAAAAATTATCATTGTAGACAAATAACGGATGACTAGTTCGCGGAACGACCAAGGCGTGACCAATAGGAGTGACAATTGTAAGGCGGTTTTATTTTCTCAATACATCAATATTGCAATTACCTTTCTGTACTGATAAGTCCGGGACACGGGTTGTTCGTCGAACTCGGAGGAGCCGAGCTGCTGGTTATGTTGCTGTTGCTGTTGTTGTCGCTGCTGCATCATGTGCATCTGCACCCGGTAAGACGGTCTGAGTTCGGCGACTGGACGCATGTCGGCTAGCGAAACAATAATACGATGAGAAACGACACGGGCACTCGGCGAACAGCAAATAACCGAAATAATAATACGACAGCGGAACGTGATCGTTGTAGTGCGGACGGCGTGCGCGCGTGTTGACGGTACGGTACGGTTCGTCGGAATGACGGCATGACCCAAGGGCACGGCGGGTTTTATACGGACGTGGTCGAGGCGGTGGCGGGAAGCGCGGTGTGCGAACGACGCGGCGGCGTGTGACGGGGCGCCCGTGGGAATCTTGGTCGCATTCCCACAGTGTGCATCGGCGTGCGCGCGCGCGCGGGACACGCACAGGCATGCCCGCGAGAGGGGCGCCGCCCGAGGGCAGCCGTCGCCGCCGCCTCCTCCGGTTAGACGTGCACAACACGCGCGCACACCTGCCACGCGCTAATTTAGAGGTACGGCGCGCGCGCGCGATCGCGTAGAATACCCGTACGCACACGCACGCGCACGCTTCACACGCTACTAACACACGCACGCGCTTGTGTAATCATACACACGCGCGATCGCTCGTGCACACGTCGGTACGGACGATGTGCAGTGATCTCCGAGATAAATACAGCTCCAGTGGCGGATACAGGATTTTCTTTTGGGGGGAGGGGGGTTTTAAAAAATGTTTTCCCTTGGGATATTTTTTATAACATTGCAGTCAGCGATTGATAATGAATTAAAATAATAGTAAGTAATATAATACATTAATTTAAATCTAAGACTACTAGTTTCTTGTATGAATAAAAATACAAATTATATACTTTCCCTCATACTTTAAAAAAAAAAAAAATATTTTTCTTAATTCATAGAATTATTAATTTTTAATATATATTTTTTCTGATTATGAGGGGTTTTAATATCCCCCCCCCCGTGAATCCATCATTGATGCTCTCTCCGCGTACCGATTTACAGTTTAATGCGTGCACGCCGATTTTCTGAGCTGTTCAATTCGGTTGTCCGAATCAAGGCGATTTCTGCATTTCTCGTCGATCTTCCATGTTGAGATATCTAGCAGATCCACTTGTCCGACTTCGTATTGTTCGCTAAAAACATTTGAAATAATTTCTAAGGTGATCCCGGGACGGAATAAAACACAGCACTCGGCCGTAATAAGCTTTTAACCTATCATATTCTTATAACATTTGTTTTTGTCGATTAAGATTTTCGTTTTGTAAAAATCAATGAGCGACCAACTTTCTCCGTGAAATACTCTGTCGCTAGCGAAAATCGAAATGAAATCCGATCAGATGGGAAAATTGTGTGTGGACGCGTCAAGGATACAATTTTATAATACAACATACATAAAGTTTTGGATAACTATTTTAGACACAATCTTATTGAACTTTTAACGAATAATAAAAAAAAAAAAAAAATGATTATTTTGGTTTTCATTCGAATTGAAACACTGCATTAATACTGCATTTAACGCGAAAATATAATGTGTGTTTAACTTTTATCGAATCCGTCGAATTCGACAAGAGTACCGATGTAGGTAATACAATTATCGTGGCTTACGGTGACCGCCAAAAGAAGGTTTATAAGTATTATTTTCACATACGATCGAGGTCTGGCGCGCGTGTACCGCATTATTGTAAAACAGCGTTATTGTCACGCCGATAGGTACCTACGTACACGTATAATAATACAATACTACCGTCGTATACCCACGGCGGCGGTGGCGGCGCACACGTTCGCACCTTTTCGCCTTTGGTTGTTTTTTTTTCCTCTTTCTTTCCCTCCGCTCGGTATTCTTTCTCTCGTCGGCCCTTTTACGACGAACAACACGCGCGCGAGCCGTCGTCGATTACGCGTTATTATCGTCATTGTTACCGTAATAATAACAATACCATATTATACAATATCACACAATACACGTATCGTACACGCGCATGTACATTCGACGGCTCCCACGGTCGTCGTCGTCGTCGTGAGCAGCACGACATCGTGATCAACACGTTTGCAAATGGAAATTCGGGCGCGACGCTCAGTGTCCGGGTACGCGCGCGACTATATAACACCCCTTTAATCTCCTCGGAAAAAATCCGTAATGTTTAATAAAAATTTTTACGGTTAGAATATAAAACATGACTTATGAGTTGCGCCGAACTGCAGTTTTCCGCCATTCCTCACGTACCGTGTACGGTTATGACTTGAAATTCATTGCATTATAACGTTTCGTACGAAGTTTTTACATTCTCGTGTATGCCCGTCTATCGTACGATTAGTCTTTACCACCGTACTTGATTCTGTAAGACGTAAAGAAAATAGTTAAAAAATTTTACATGTACAACAACATTTACATTGAATGAAATACTGTTCGAAAAACTGTAATTTTATTTATTTGGAATATTGACTATATTTTGATTTTCGACTAAACCAGTAGTGCCCAATCCACGCAGGTATTCAATGTAGTCCGTTTACAATTTTTTTTAAATAAAACAAAATATTAATGCGGCAGCCGAAGAAAGTAGGACGGATTGGCACGTTATAGTGTATGATAGAGAAATTAATGGAGGTAGTTTTGGTGATAAATATCCTCAACGGATTGTAAAGCCGGAAAAAAAAAGTAAAATTATGATAAATTAAGATTTTTTTAAAAATGTATTAATTTTATTTTCGAACATTTTCAAATAGAAATTTTACGATACAACGTGCGCTTATAATGGCATACTGATCAAACTAATGTGTAACTACAGTGTGCACATCAATCTATGTATAGTCTTTTCAGTAGTCAATAAAATATTTAAAAACAAATTCAATATGTATCTACATGTAAATTGTATACCTACTGCGTGTAACAAAATAACATTATTAAATTGATATTGATCTGACTCGTTTCAACTTTTATATTTGGTGGCCCATAAATGTTTACCTAAGTGGCCCGCCGAGAAAAAAAGGTTTAACATCACTAGTCTAAATGATATTAAGGTATTGTCTTGGAAAATGTTCTTGCTGACCCATTGGCATCATTTTTATAGTATATCCAGTCCGCTAAACTGCACCGATGTTCATTTTCCAACCGATTATCGCAATATGTAATAAAGCGTTAAATGTTTTTTCGTGTTTCAATTGAAATGAGTTCATCGTATGGTAAACGCCCTTTCGTCAAAACATTGTCGAGTCACATGACGTGTAAGCGCGTGTGACTATTTACTAAAGATCTACGGGTCAGGCCGGCCCAACCTGGTCCTCAAAATGCCTGGCTCGTATTGAGACTGGACCGATCCGAACTTTAAAAAAAATAATGAGGGCTAGATCGGACTTTCGTTTTCGTAAAAATTTTCAGGCTGGGCCGGGCTGAGCTTTTTTTGTAAAACTTTTCGGGCCGGGTCAAGCTTAAGGATTTTTACATCTGGCCGCGTTTGGACATTTTATGGATTTTTTTTTGTATGACAAAAAATTGTTATTTAAAATAAAAATGATAAATTCTCATTACGACGTAGGAATAACCACGAATATTATGTAATTCGTGGAACGTGGGTACTGAGTAATGGGTATAATAAAGTTATTTATATATAATTCATATATATGTTATTAATAAATAACAACACTACCAAAATATATGGCATACTATTAGCGGAGTAGAAGTATTTGTCTATTAGCGAGATTATTATTTCTATAGTATCATAGTACCAAGTACCAATATAAAATAGAAACGGTAATTTGAAATATTCAAAGAAAATCCATTGTGTTTGACTATAGAGATAGTTAACACTAATATAGGATACTAAACTATAGCCGGTTTCAGCTGCCTAGTTTTTGTTCCATGTTCGTGTACCACTGAACATATTTTGCGTACCTATATTTGTTTGTTTGAATCAATATTATAAGATAAGTTTTTTAATGTTACCTACGTATTTAATATATATTTAAATTTTTTTTCACTTTACTAATTTATCAGTATTTATTATGTAAAAAGTAATAACATTAAAGAAAAAACTGTTGAGGCACCTATTGCTTTTTAAAATATACAATATACATACAGATTTATTTCACTTTTCTAAAAATACAATAATAATAAATTATTTGTTTTAATTATTTGTAAAAGAGTTACCTAGGTAGTAGGTATCACAACGATTTGTTTTTAAGATTATAATGATGGGTAATTAAATAATATTGATGAATAATAAACAGTGACTGCTTTTAAATATTATTTTTTTATTTGATTACCTATATTATAATTTTTAGAAATATTATATTATTATATTATTATATTATATATATTACTCATTTTAAAGTATAAGTACCTAATTGACACTTGTATTCTTATATCTATTTAACACTTTATTGCACAGCGCCCAGTGTTCACATAAGTTTTTAAATCTAAACATTGAATTTAACTCTTACCTATTACTTACTACCTTTTACCATTGATTAAATATACATGTATATTTAATAAATGCTACTACTTAGTCTAATATTTATGGTTTATAGGAAATATAGGTTTTAATAAGTATTAAAAATTGTAATTCATCCATTCAGGACAAAAGTCAACATATTATTTCCAATTTAAATATGTTACCGACTTCCTATTTTAATTTTTAAACATTTTTGATCATCTTTAGATATATTATGTGTGGTTACTGATTATTTTTCATATTGAGTGTTTGGTTTTCAATAAGAAATGTTAAGTACTTTTGGTTTAATTTAGTTTGTTTGTATCAAATTTCAGTGGCATAATTTTATTATGTTTAGGGAAGGGTGGAACACATTTTTGTACATGAAAAATTATTACTCGCATAATTTTTTATTATATATTTATTAGTTAAATATGATGTTCTAGGGCTAAAAATATATCTCAGACAGAACCAAATATTTTTAATTATTTTCGGGCCGGGCCTGGGCTTTTTTTACAAAATATTTTGGACCTGCTCGGACCGGGATTTTTTAAAAATATCATTGGAACAAAACGGGCTTTTAAAGAGCTTTTGGTAATTTTCGGGCCGGGCTTCAGCTTTTTTTCACAAACATTTTTTGGACCGGGCTGAGCCGTAAATTTAGTTTGATTAGTACCTAATTACTTAACTTTACTAACTATTAGTAAGGTCAGTATAGCAGGTCTTTACTGTTTACGGGTACCATGATACGGATACGTAGTCATAATAACAGTATAAAATTATTAAATACGTTTATACACGTCGGGGCACGCGTTT